TTTGCTTTCAGTTACTGCCAACATCAAGCACTCGGTATTGCCTGTATAAGCAAACACCCGGAGTTTACAGCATTGCAGAGAAAACACTTTGCTTTTCTGATAGCGCCTTATCTGCCTTGGGTGCTCAGTGCAGCTCCCCTCTACCCCCCGCAGCCCCCGGCTCTCTCGCGAGCTTCCTTCTTTCAATGTGCTCAGGAAAGTTTATGTCAGAAGGCTCTAGCCCTTTATGAGCCGTTCTTCAAAACCTTTTTTTAACCATGTCTTATTCCGATTCCACATTTAACATTCCAGAATTTACGATCCCTTTGGTTTTCCCCCTTTGGACATGACTTATGCTTTTTTTAGGCTATCTTCTTTTTACTTCTAATAATATTCTTCAATCTACTTAACGATGCTCGCTATTTCTGCTCCTTCTGGAAAGCCTTTCTGCTAGCTCCATTTGTCAGGCGCTGGCTACGTGCAAGCCTTTCAGCTCTCCTTCCCTCTCCTCCTGCTTTCCCCCTTTGAAGCTCAGACRTGCGCGGGAGGGGGTTTGGGCGGCGCAGTGGGGGGGTGTGACCCCCAGCGTGGGGCGCGCGGCCGCAGCAGCCCCACGGCCCATGGGGTGCCGGGCCGGCTGCCCTAGCGGGGCCCGTTGCAGCCCCCACGGTGCTGCCATGCCCTCCAGCAGCGCTTGCACCGTCCGTGTGGGGCCRGGTGACATTTCTCCTTGCTCTTTTCGTTTCCCGTGCGCGGGCGCTGCCGCGTTTCAGCTCAGGCGCGGYGTTCGGCGCAGAGCGCTCACTTCTGCTAACGAAAGGAGTCCTTTCCCAACGTGGAAGCACAGAGGAGGCAGGAGAGCCCCGAGGCTCCGGTCTCCTTTCTGCAGGAACTCATGAACCCATCGCTTATGGGGAAACTGAGGCACGGAGCAGGGAGAAGCAAAGCAAAACGAGGAGCCCAACCAGGAAAGGAAGCGAGCTCCTCTTCCCTAGCCCCTCCATGCAGTGCTTTGAGCACGACCCACCTCGAACACCCCAAAGCTCCCAACCATCCTGCTCCAAACCCTGGACCAAGTTCACATCCAGAGCTGAGCAGAAATCCTGGCAATTCCCTTGCTTCCCCTGCTCTGCCCACCCACCTACTTCATCTCTGTCATAAAAATCTATAGGCACACTTGACCCATCAGTAAATGCACATACAGACTTATACATAGAATTAATAACTAAACACCTAGAGTTAACAGAATGGTTGTTCGGGGTTGATTTTCTGGGAAAAGAGGAGCTGCTTGATGACTAATATTTGGTTTTGGAAACAAACCCAAATGCCACATAAAAATGTCGATATACTTCATGCCTGGAATAAGCAGGCAAAGTCCCTTTCTGCTTTGCTGGATCCCAAAGATGCCTGAGCTCGAGGGTGCTGCTGATGGAAGTTGATTAAAAGCAGGCTCTCTTGTTTGTGTTCTCAGGCAGATGGGTCGCATCCAATTGCACTCCGAGGCTGGGTATTTCTGTCCTTTTTCTCTCTTTCCTTCCTGCCTCTCCCCTCTCCCGCACCGCTTGGTTCTGCTCCAGCTGCTCCATTCCCARGCAGCTCCGTTCTAGCGCTGTCACTTTGCAAAGGCAGCTTAAACTTGCTTCCAGCCCTTACGGATTTTTCCGCCCCTGCAAAAAAAATGACCATCCAGCCTGTCTTAAATTGCAGAGTATCTCCAAGCTGGGCGCRTCACCGTGATACCACGGAGGTGTCTCCGAGAGGGCTCCTGCGGCRCCGCCGGCGCTGCCGACGCGCTACTGAAGTGCGACCTGGCGGGCAGCAGAGGTGCTGCTTTCCTGGCGTCCACTTCCACTTCAGGAAAGGGGCAGAATTCCCGGGTGAATTTCCCCCTGAAAGGTCCAAGCCAGCCGACCACGAGCACCCTCGGGCGTCAGAGGCTGCTGTGGAAACAGCAAGAGAAGAGCAAGACCTTCAACAATCACAGCCAGGACTTCCAAATATTTTTTCAAAGGGAAAACACTGACTTGCCAGAACCCAAGATGAAAAGTAACAAGCACATAAATACCCTTCTCATGCTCTCGCATCGGCCAAGAGCCCTTCACAAGCAAAGCAAGCCCTTCTCTCCCCTCACCTCCCCTGGCCAGTCCCCTTCCCTCTTGCCCAAGAAAGGTCATTTTCTTCACAGGCAAAAAAAAAAAAAAAAAAAAAAACCTTCCACAACAAGAGGGGTTTAAATCGAGCCAAGGCAGAAAACTTCTTTTTCACCAGTTCCTAATAAATAACTTCAACCTCCTCATTGCAAGTATTTCAAAACAAAGAATCTCTGTTTGAGGCAGAGCTGTAAATTATCTCAGTAGATCTTGTTTTGCTTCAGGCTGGACCCAAGCAGACGTCATTTCAGTTTCAGCAGCAGAAAGAGAGTCTTCTGCAGCCCCAGGCCCTCGTGAGGAGCGAGGGAAGCCCCCATCCCCTTGCATTCCCAAATGCCACCGACACTCCTGCTCCATCCGCATGCCGGGATCCTGTCCCCAGCACCGTGGCCAGCTGTGCTGAGCCTGGGAGCACCGGCGAGCGCCACGGAGCAGGGAAGCAAGAGCCTGGACGTGCCCAGGGAAACGTGCCTAGTGGGGGCCAGGGAACAGCACGGACTCCCAAGGGACAGACCTAGGTTAACGCYGGCAGTGCAGCTGGACCAAATCCAGGCTGACGCCAGGGCAGCCCAAACCGGGATGTGCCCAAACCGGGATGTGACCCTACACTATTTATAAAATGCCACGACATCTGCAAACACAGCAGTCAGAAGTTTACAGTAGTCGTAAGTGCATAACTAGTGAGCTCGCCTGCTTAATAGCCCTCAAGCTGATGCTCTGGCGCAAGAAGCAGCTTCATGACTCTGCTTATTACAGATACAGTTACAGGCTTTGCAGTAACAACAAGGCTGCTCTCAGTTACACTGACTGCAGCGTCAAACGAGCAGCCAGAGGCGCTTTGGTCGCCAGGCTGGAGCCGGCTGCTCACTCAGCAGCCCTTGCTCGTGCCCATACAGACCTGGCGTACGGGGGTCACGCGCCGTGGGTCACGGCTGGGGCTTTCACTCGAGCTGCCTCCTCTTTGATGGTGCGAGCTGAGGTCCGAAGGCGGCTGGATGCAGCCCGCAGGACTCCAAAGGCCACGTGCCCACACAGACACGGGGATGCAGCTATGAGAGGGGAATGTGCGGATCCCCTCAGGTCAGCAAGGCTCCTCTGCCTGTGGAGGACAAAGCGCTTTCCACGTGGAGCACTAGAACAAAACACGGGTGACACCAAAGCTGAAACTGCTGCTATTGCCCCTGGTTAGTAGGAAAGGGCCTGGTGATGAGGGATCCCTGCCACCCCACGAGCTGCCCCGCTAGCTGYCTCCTCCATGAACCCTTTCCTGACGGAGCTAGGTGGATGCACAGCCCACACATGGCACATGGGCTGCAGGTGACAAAGCAGCCGCCCCCGGGGAGGGTCGTCTGCCCTGGGCTCCGGGCAGGAGGCTGCCCCTGCTCCACACTCACCCAGCACACAGGCACCAGGCTATAGGATTCCCCTGCAGGTTTCACATCGTGACTCAAAACCCAAACTCCTGGAGAGGGAACAGCCTTAGGAATTTGCCGAGAAAGATTACCCAGGCCCCTGGTAACTGCTTGTTTCTTTAAGCCCTGGTCCATGTGTCTGGATGCTGTTCTGGAGCTAAGAGCCCATCGCTGTGCAGSTAGCTGCTCTGCAGGCAGTGCCCGTGCTGGCAGTGTCCGTGCAGGCAGTGTTTGTGCCCCAGAGCAGCTGCTGGGGGCCAAGAGGGGCTGGGGGTGCCCTGCTCAGGGGGCAGGATTCAAACACTTCTGATCAGGAGGAAGCCCAGTGAGCACCCCAGTGTGCTCCCTTACCTGTTCAGCCGCCTGCATCAGCCTCCCTGGCTGCTTCTCACGTGCTAGATGATTTCTTCTTTTTTAAAAAAATTCTTCCAGTCMTTAATGATGATTGAAGAAGCGTCTGTCCAAAACCAAGCCCCATTCGCCCTGCTGCTTTTGCCCAGCTCTAGGCTGCCAAATCTTGAGCCACTGACCAGCCCCGCTCTGGCTGTGGCTTCACCGGGATGCTCCACTGGCTCTGGCCAGCTCCCCTCTGCCATCCTGCTCCCACTGGCCTTCCTGGCACTGCCCTCCCCCGAGAGCCAGGAGCATTCCCCTCATCSCACCGCTTATCCGGGCAGGGCTGCGCTTCCCACCAGGCGAAGGGATGAGGAAGAAGCAATGCTCCGGCTCAAAATGCAGGAGTCCCTCTCCCCACCACCACCCCCACCATAAGAGTTAGCTGTGGCATTGCAACTCGCTCTCAGGGAGCCCCTGCCCACGGGGAAGTTTAAGTTGCCCTAGGCTCAAGAGAAGGCAGTGAGAGGAGGGGCACATGTCCCCAGGGGATGGCTCCTGGAACAGGAGTATTCCCAGAGAAATAGGTGGAGAACACACAGGAAAGATTCCCAGAGATTGGATCTGCTCTCCCTTCTGCAGAGGCTCTGCGGTGCTCATGGCAGCCACGGCACACACAGAGCAGCCCTTGGTCGCCAGCCCCGCTGCTCCGCCAGAGCCCCGAGCCCTCGGCTCGGCAGYCGGGCACACGGTGCCCGTGGTACTCGGTAAGATCCAAGCGCGCTGTGTCCACCCGCCRGACACGGCTGCAGCACCGAACAGCCCGTGCCGAAGGGGCATCGGGAGTGGCAGAGCAGCTCCCGCGGGAGCAGGAGGAACAGGGACATCTCAGAACACGGCAGAGCTGCCTGGCCCATTACACAGCTGCCAACACCCCCAGACATCCAGGCAGTTTATATGCAGATATATTGAAAAAGCAAATAAAGTTGCCCCAAAGGGCCCTAACTCGGCTCTTGCCCTTTAACGCATACCTGACAACACTCACATATATCAGGACCTGATACCTCTGCCAAGRTATCGACCTGACCCCCGGAACACGGACGGGCCGGCAGGTACTGTGCAAATATATCAGATTTTATTTCTCTTTTATGGAAATAACAACAGACATTCAGGTAGAAACATATTAAATTAACGCAGTCAACAGTTTAAATGCAAAAATAAATACCAAGTCCAGCAGCTCAGCGCATCTAAAACAGCTCATTTCTTCTAACCAATAGAAAAAAAGATACATTTTTTTTTGCGGGCGTTTGTTTCTTTTTCGCTGGTTGATAGMGGGAGTTTCACACGGCCGCGTGGACGCGAAGCGCTTCCCCAGGAAACCTCCCGGTGTGGCTGGCGGCGGCTCCGCGCAGCCGAGTCCGTCTGTCCGTCCGTGCCCGCAGCGGGAGCGGGAGCCGCGGGCCGCGCTCAGAGCGCCGAGTCCGAGTCGCTGGAGTCGAGGCTGTTGCGCAGGCGGCCGCGCTGCAGCGCCAGGTTCTGGGTGCTGCGGCGCAGGCACTCGAGGGACTGCAGGAAGGAGCGCCGGGCCTTCTCCTCCTCCGAGGGCGACGCGCCCTCCTCCTCCTCCACCTCCTGGATCTCGTCGAAAGTGACGGGCTGCGTCTTGAAG